TCATATTCAAACAATTAAACAATGGTTTCCATTGTATGCATCATTGTTTGCTTTTGAACAATAAATACTTCCATACATAAGTGTTATTCTGTTGAAGAAGCAATTCTAATAGTGTAAATTGACACAACACAAATCTAAGAATTCTCAGGGTGATTAGCTGAGCTGACTTGGGACAGACACCTTTTACCTAAGATCTCCATTTTCTGTAGTCAGGTCACCTTTCCGTGATATACAATACCGCTCATAACATTTGCAAAAAAAAAAACATGATTTCACATAAATGCGTCGTAAGCGTCGCATCTCATGACTTCTTTCAAAAATATTTTTTACAAGGAAAAGCGGTGTTAGACTTAGCTTGTCAAAACGAATCTTAAGATATGTCACACTACAGTAACATCTAAGGTGTACGGCACACGGTAGAATATGCTGCATGGTTAACAGTAATCCATAAGGCTGTAATGAAGGCACAGTTTAGAGTCCATAGCATGGTAGTCGATATATGATTTTCTGGACTACAAAATATCAAAGGACAACCTGGATGACATGACGCGCCGACACGAAAAGTGGATTGGCACATTGTAGATTTCCATTAGTCCTGGAAAGATTAAAAAGAAGGAAAGGACCAATTACTGACTTTTAAGCTAAGGCAAACATTTCTGCGAAATTTTCCGGACCATGGTCCAGAAAATTCACTATAAAAGGAAGCCAAAAAGGGATTATTGTAAAAATGCGAGGAAGCACCTGTTTAGCTGAGATGAAAGGTTTGGCAACGTCTACATAATCACAAGCAACCTTTTAATCTTTGAGACGTGAAAATCATATTCCAACTATTTTCATGACTCTGCGCTTTTTTAGAGACGAAATAAGCTCAGAAATGTGATAAAATCACTTCTGATTCTTTACTGGTGCTGCTAATAAGGAGAAACAATAGGCAGCAAAAACGGTAAGGAGAATATTTTTTTTGTATGTGAACATAACAAGTGAAGAACTCGAATAGCAAAGTTACTCTTTAAAAATAAAAAAGCACTATAGCCCAATATATGTATAAAATCGTATCTGCTAAAATCAAAGATTGGATGGAACTGTAGCAGTGAAACGGTATTATGCGACAATGCTGCAGGATTCACTATAATTATATATACAAGGGAAAATTCATTGGGAGGATAAACATAAAATAAACTTCATAATTATCTGAAGTAGGAATTTAGAACGTTGATCACAAAATACTAGAAGTTTGATAAGCTAGATTAGCTCTCCTGTGAAGAAACACACAGATCTAGGAG